GGTCCAGCTGAAGGCCATCCCGCTGGGGCGCTGCGGCCTGGGTGAGCGGGCGGGCCGGGCGCGGGGCCGGGCGCGGGGCTGGGGGCACCCTGGGACCTCCGGTGACCTCGGTGGCGGCTCTTTCCAGATCTCATCGTGCAGGCCAAGTCTGGCACTGGCAAAACCTGCGTGTTCTCCACCATCGCCCTGGACGCCGTGCTGCCGGAGAGCCCCGCCACGCAGGTGAGCCCCGGCCCCGGCCTGCTGCTGCGCGCTGGCCCGGCCCGCCTTTAGCGGTACGCGGAGTGTGGGGGGGGCGGCTTCGCTTTGTGAGAGGGAATCGCTCTTTTTCTTGGGGAAACGACATTATCGCCTGTGAGACATAGTATTTGACATCATCGTGACTCGACGCGGGGCGTTAATCTTCGGAACCATTCTGCAGCTTTCAGAGTTAATCCTTGGCCCTTACAGATTCTGATCTTGGCTCCTACGCGAGAGATTGCTGTGCAGATTCATGCTGTAATCACGACTATTGGAATAAAAATGGAAGGCTTGGAATGCCACGTCTTCATTGGAGGTACTCCTTTGAACCAGGACAAAATCAGACTAAAGAAGTGCCACATAGCAGTTGGCTCCCCAGGTATGGATGAGCTTCATTGTGCTTCAGGTACCCTGTGATACTTCACTGTACCATAATTGGTGCTTTGGCAATCTGGGTGGTTTTGGGGGTTTTTTTGGTTTGTTTGTTTCCCCCCCCGTAATAGGGGATAATCTCAAAGGCCAGTGCCAGAGACATTTAGACCGGGTATTTTTAGTGAGAGGTTACTCCAAATATGCCTCTCTTTTTAAGGCTTGTTAACATTAATTTTTAAAAATTACAAAATTCATCGTTAGAACCTTTCAATTAATATTTTTGAAGTTACTTTTTGCTTTTTGCTTCATATGTAGGTCGAATAAAACAGCTCATAGAGTTGGACTACTTGAATACAGCCAGTATCCGGCTTTTCATTCTTGATGAAGCAGACAAGCTTCTAGAAGAAGGCAGCTTTCAGGAGCAAATCAAGTAAGAAAAACATTTATCTCATGCATTTATCAGTAGATTAGATACATATTTGTAAGTCATTCCCATTTTTTTGTCTCACAGTTGGATTTACTCTTCACTGCCAGCCAATAAACAGATGCTTGCTGTTTCAGCTACTTATCCTGAATCATTAGCTAATGCTTTGACCAGGTACATGAGAGAGCCAACATTTGTGAGGTTGAACCCTACTGATCCAAGTCTCATTGGTAAGTAGAAGTTCATTTATAGTGATACTGTTATATACTGAAACCAAAACATGTACCTTTAAAATTTGTGATTCTTCATAATTTCCCTCCACGGGTGAGTTGGTTAGTTTATGAAGTATTTATTCCCAGTGTTGATGTATTTAAAACATCAGTGATGAATGTAACTTTCTGGTTTTTCTATCCGTTCAAAAAATACTTCAGCCTTTTAAGAAAAACCTGTCCTGTAGGTTCTTATTTGGCACGTGTGTGTGCTTGGTTAAATTTAAAGTCTTTGTTTTAGCTGCAGTGACACATGTTGACAGCAGCATAGCACCGTGCATGTTTTTATGGAAATCCTTAATCTGATAGTTTTCTTGGTTTCATGCTCAGGGCTGAAGCAGTATTACAAGATTGTGAATTCCCATCCACTTCCACATAAAACATTTGAGGAAAAAACCCAGCACCTACAGGAGTTGTTCAGCAAGATTCCATTTAATCAAGCCTTAGTCTTCTCAAATTTGCATAGCAGGTAATGAATTTGAAATAAAATCTGTAAAAAGCATGGTCGAATGCAGCGGTTGTAATGTCCAGTCGTGGGTAAACTTATAGAGACCTTCTATAAGGTCTCAAAGCAGTATGCAAATTTCAGATCTGAAATACAGCCAGGGGAATGCAGTATGAAATACTGAAAATAAAGGAATGCTTTAGCACGAAGGTACCTCATACACTGTTTGGAGTACAGTAAGACCTGATACTCTGTTGTCCTTTTGCATCTGTAAGGTGACTGTTCTAGACGTAAAGATGAAAGTGACAGTTCTGGAATGTAGTCCTTGGCTGTAAAGAATAGCCTGTTGTTAAGAAATGCACAGGGGTTGTTAGGTCTGCGGTTTTATTTACAGTTTCCATTGTGTATGTTCTGTCAGGGCTCAACATCTAGCTGAAATACTAACATCCAGAGGCTTTCCTGCTGAGTGCATTTCAGGTAAGTCCATTCAAAACTTTATGATTCTATTGAAGTTGTGCATAAATGGGACCTAAAATAGGAAAATGAATCTTAAATCTTGGTTTGCATGGCTTCTGGTCGAATAACTAAGAATAGCATTTGAGTCTTCATAGGTCTTTAGGAATTAAGTATTAATTAATTCTTACACTGATTAACCTTCCTGTTTTAAATTTGTTTGAGAGTCATTTTTATGAATGTCCAGGTGAGTGCATTGGCTTATTTGTAAAGCGAAAGTTTACTTACTTTTGCAGGCTGAAGCAGTTTTTCTTTGGAATGCAGATGCTGAATTTAAATCTTTATTTCTAGCTTCTCTATAAAAGCTGATCACTGGCACCTAATGTTTATTAGAACCCTTGAATTTTTACTTCAACAGTGTTTTCTATGGCTTACGTGTTTAAGTAAAATTTGTATCTACATAATTGTAGATACAATTATGTATTAAGTTATGTACGGGTTAAGTATCTACATAATTGGTTTCTCTTTAAAAACAAGCAAAAGAATTATTTTTGTAATGGATTTCCTTATTTTCAAGTTTTTGTTTGTTCTTTGTTGACTCATTTGGAACTGATGTTTGAGGAAGCTTCTCTCAACCTTATTTCTCATCTCATCTACAGTTTCACAAAGCAGTGTTTTCCAGAATTTGAGGGGCATAAAAGTGAAGAATGTAATGTGTTTCTAATTTTTATCTTTCTAGGCAGCATGAATCAAAATCAACGACTTGATGCTATGGCTAAATTAAAGCAATTCCACTGTAGAGTTCTGATTTCCACAGACTTGGTGAGTTAGTATCTTAGAGCATACATGAGTATTGTACGTAAAGTTACTTCAGAGAATTAGATTTGACTTGGAATTGAATAGAACATAAATGTACTGATAAAGCATGTGACTTGAGCACTGCGTGTGCCTTATTGTCACTGTGAAACTTAGAAATTGTCCCCTATTCCTCATCTGGTTCAAAAATAATTTTTAATTTATCTGTTGCTTTGCAGAAGCTTATAGATACTTCAGAGCAGTAGAGTTGTTTACTTTGGATAGGAGCTGTGGGAAGGAATAGTTTGTTTCTCTAGTACAGTATGCTCACAATAGTAACATCCCAAACAACGTTAAATAGAGCAGTGGTTATGCTTGAGGCACTCTCAGCTTTTTTGTGGTTGATGTATTTTTCTCTTCAGCTGATCGTTTGAGGTCCTGTCATGAAAAGATTACTGCTGTTGGGCTGAATTTTTTGATGCAGGGGGGGAAACATGCTTGCTTGTGTTTGATACATAGAAGGCATAAGAAAAATGATCCCTGATTTTCATGGCCGCAATGCAATATGCCTATTCTACATGTAATACTGTAAACTGGCTCAGAATCGTAGGTGCTTTATGGTGTATTGTAACAACTAAAAGTTACTGTATGAGCAGTTACTCTCAAATGCGTTGTATTTATTTAAAGATCTGTTCAGCATATTCAGTTACTTATCCCCTTCTCTCCTTCTCGCTTTCTCAAGACATCTCGCGGAATTGATGCTGAAAAAGTGAATCTGGTTATCAACCTGGATGTGCCTGTAGACTGGGAAACGTACATGCATCGTATTGGCAGAGCTGGGCGCTTTGGTAAAAACAGTCATGCGGATTTGTTGAGCTTGCACTAGCTTCACTGGCTCTGGTTAGGTAATTACACTTTCTGTTGTGTATCACAGGAACTCTAGGCTTATCTGTGACATACTGCTGCCGCGGAGAGGAGGAAAACGTGATGATGAAAATTGCTCAGAAATGTAATCTTCAGCTTCTTCCTCTACCAGGTACGCTCTGTCCTATGAATGCAGCCGTTTTGGTTGTTTTCTCTTTATTCAAAACTTCAGACTTTCCATAGGGAACTGACATGTATCTTCTCTGCTGAAGTTGCATTAATTTTGGTACAGGTTTTTCATCCTCTGTGCTAATGACTACTTGTATAACTGCTGCAGTTGTGCGAAGCAATAGAAAATGAACTTAGTGCATGCCTATGGATAGGGAGAGGAACTCTGCATCCAGCTGTTGCTTAAGCAACTACATAACTACTTGGATTTCCAGAAATCTAGTGTTAAGCCTTTCTCAGGCTGTAAGATACGGTAGGAGAAGTAAGGGAGGAATAATTGAAACAGCAGAAGATTTGCTACCCTTGCTTTGCCAGAAGCTGTTCTGCTAGAAATGTAGCATTTGCCGCCTTACACAAGTTCTAGTTTTTTATCTGGTTAAGTAGGATATGAAAAATAGGTGACAAGTAATACAGTGCTGCTTGTCTTGATCAACTTTTTGATGCCTTCCATGAAGAAAATGTTCTGGCTGTTTGAGCTCTTTCAGGAATTGAAGGGGTCGGTTTGTAGCCTTGCCTTAACATGTCTTAACAGCTTATCTGCGATTTTGCAAAGCTTTGCTTTGGTATTCATTTGAGTTCTAGAGGGAAGGATGCACTTAACTGAGTGCCTGCTTGTTTCCCTTTTGTGCAGAGCCTATACCTCCTGGAATGATGGATCAATTTGAAGATGGGGAGGTAGAAGTCAAACCTGTTACACATACAGGTACTTCAGTGAATTCTGACACTGTGTGTCTTAGACCAGAGGAACCGGTACTGCATCCTGTCCAAAATAGTTTTTCGGAGGTACCTCAGCCTCTTTCTAATCTTCCGGGTGATAATTCTTCTGTAGAAAGGCCAAAAAAGGCTCTGAAGCAAAAGCAGATTAAAAAGTGCACAGATTCTGCAATTACAGAAAAAGGTAGCAGAAACCCCCAAACTTCCAGTTGCCATACAGAACGGAGGAATCAAGTCAAAACTGTCTCCAGAACGGATGGACAACGTAACACTCAGTCTCCAGATGAGGAGGCCTTAAAAAAAAATCTTCCCAGAATTCCATGCTTGTCTGCTTTCAAAAACCAGCAGAACAACCCCTGGAACTTCTCAGAGTTTGTTGAAGACTATGAGTATTTCATTAAAGAAGGGTTGGAGAGAGAGGTCGAAATTTTAAGAAGCTATTCAGGCCCAGGAGAACGATGTGAGCTCCCCAGAAATGGTGGTGTAGAGTGGAAAGAGGCAGAACGTAACACTGAGATGGTAGCAAACGGTGTTGTGTCTGGTGACAGTGATGGTTCGTACAGTTCCAGGGCTTCCTCCAATAGTAGGGAAAATAACTCGTGCTTTGAAGCATTTTCAGATACACAGAAGAATGCTGTTCCCAGAATGTATCAGGGTCATGCAGGCTTCTGTCCTGCACCAGAGAAGCCTCAGGAGCTATCACAAGTCCCAAAGCAAAACCAAGTGAAAAAGAAAGTTCTGAAACAAAATGCTAAACAAAAGAAAAGCCATTGCCATCAATTCCCTAGTCCTTCCCCAAGAAAAACTGAAGATGAGTGCTCCTGCAGCTCTTGGGATGATGGTGTTCCATATGAGGCTTGGAGTTATAAAAACTACTGGAAATCTTATTATCAGGCATGGCAAAACTACTATGCTGCGGTGTCTCACTATAGGAAAAGTTACAGACAATTTAACTGGATGAATGCCTATCATGTCAACTCGGTCTATCTTCAGGAACTGCTGAAAAGCGGTGATTGATGTACTGACACTGCTGTTAGGGACGGGCTGGTTGGTACCATGAATGGACATTATCTGTGAAAACGTAACTGCTGGTCTACAAGTACATTGACAAACATAAGCAGACATTGTTTAGGATTGAAGAAAAATGTTGTCTTTTTCATAAGCCAGCTGTGTCTAGGTAATGTTTTACATGCATTCCAGTGTCGGTGTTACAAGTTGTTAATAAAAGGAAATGAAAGACAGCTGGATGTTCAGTTGCAATCTTTACAATCCAAAGTAAACAAAGGAAGATGAAAGGCAGCCACTTACACGTAAGAAATCTTAGTAAGGAGAAAATACAAACCAACCCCAGTTTTATTTGCTTGACTTGTCTTCCATGTGACTTTTGGGTGAAGATGAATTCACTGTAAGACTAAATAGTCTGTTTTTCGTTGGAGATCATTCCATTTTCTGTAATTCTCTTATTAAAACACCAGGCACTGATTATATGCCAGTTAAGTGGCAGAGTAAAACCTGCATCTCAATGCCTGTATTGCTAAGTTAAATCCAGTTAATTAACATTGTGTAAATAACATTTCTATAGCTAGGTGTATGGCAAGCTGTGCAGTAGAGGATGGTTTAATTATGTAGAAAATGTGCAGCGATCATAATTGGTCTGTCCCTCTGGGTGCAGCAATATCAGACTTGCCACACTTACAGGAAAGCTTTAATTAGAAATGAAATTACCTATTAGTACTAAAACTAATTGGCATTTCCTGTTTGGCTTGCACTGCTTTGTATGTAGCTGTCCTGAAGCAGGAGAAGATGGGAGTGCTGGCTGGCTTAGGGTATTGACCCTAGGTTGACTCCACGCTAATTTTTAAACTTCATCCTCTAGCTTTAGTATGTTTGGGATCATAGAGACAGATTTCTTCAGCTAGTGTCTCTGATTTTGCAAAGTTCACTAGAGCAGATAGTCTGTGTTGTTTTTTTGTTTATTTTGGTTTGTTTTTTCTTGAGCAGAGTAAGGCTGGAATTTTCTTAGTAAAAGCACTGCTTCCTGCCTACTATGAACTGTACTTCCAAGGAGACTTGCTTCTTTAATTTGGTGAAATGGATGTCTTCAGGGATGCTTGATGGCTCACCTTCAGCAGCTTTCAAATTCATTTTGAAAAATACAATGTGTTTTCACTTAGCTTACATAAATCAGTTGCTGCCTGAGCGTTCCTAACGTTCTTGCAAAATTCTCTGGAAGTCCTGTGGTGTCCCTGGCAGCACTTTCGACCTTTTTGTACAGTGGTGGGTCTGAACTTTATACCACGCAATTCAGACTCTCTTCACTATACAGGAGAACTGTAAGATCGATTTAGCTCGTGAGTGGCATAGAAATTTAGCACAAGATGGGCAAGCGAGGCTGCTGTCCTGCATTGGGTGGGTTTGTGGTTTTCCTGTCAGCCAGGGCAATGGTGGCCTCTCGTGGGTGTCAGCCTTTACTGCAAGAGAGAAAAGTGGTCTGTAAGCTCTTCGGTTCAGCTCTAACTCGGTGGGTGTTAGAAGTTACCTAATAAGTAAGTTTAATTTCTGCTTAAAGAATTTTGAAAGTTTTAAATAATGCCTCTAAGTGACACGTTCTGGTACGGTTAAGATGAGATCAGCTCTACTTGTTTTGTGGTTGAAACAAGCTGACCCTATCTGCAATACAGAATGCAAGACTTTGGCCTAAAGGGAATTGCCAAGATTGCCTTTTAAAAGAAAGGCATAAGGTGTGCTCTTTAAATACAATAAATATCTCGTTAGAAGTATTTTTCTTTCTGTACTCTTTTCCCTGCCTTACTCCCTTTGTGTCACAAATTACCTCAGGGAGGGGGCTCTCCTGGATTTTGTCTGCATAGTTTGAAAAGGCCAAGACGATATGATTTTTGTTTCCAGATGAATTTTGTTGCAACTCTTACAGTATCCTCCTTTTGAACGTTTTAAGAGATGCACTTAGGTATCTGCATTATTGCTCTCCTATAACATCTTGGTCGTCTTGCTGTTTTCCTTAACGGTTGCTTAAGTAAGAGTTATTAGTATTTAAATGCAACTCGAGTGGCTTAGGCCAACACCCAAAGTTCTCCGAAAGAACCTCCCAGAATTTTTTTTTAGAAGAAATCTACAGCATCATCTTGGTATTTGTGGCACATACTCTGTTTAATCCAGATTGGATACATCAGGTACAGCAGTGGCACAAGACTCAATACTGTAAATGATATACAAGTTTCAACATATGCACTACAATTCCAAAAGAAGACAACAGGAAACTTGGTTCTTCTAGAAAGTTGTTCTCAAATGAAGCTACCTGCAGTTGTATACAGTACATTTTGTATCTGTCCTCTGATGTTGGTAAGCAAAGCCCATTTATAGTACGAAAATAGAAAATAATAAGATTGAGAGCTTCTCATAACATAAAACTCCTAAAGAAAACACCATTGCATTGGAATGCCTTACTGATTTATCAAAAATATACCGTCACATGCCTTTTGTAAGATACTTCATTGGTCCGAGGAGCCAGTGGGAGCTCCCAGTCATAGTTGCAACAGAACGGAGAAGAGCATTCGATACGGTGGTTAACGTCTCACCCAGACAGCTGCGTGACTTCTGTGACTAGCACTAGTTTAAATCAAAATGAAAAGAAACACGTGCACACATACACACACAAAGTAACAGACTATTGACTGAGAACAGAACTCGAGGGAATTTTCACAGGCTCTTTGTCACCTGGTCTTTCGACTGATCGACCTGACGTTTTTCTGGCACAGTTTTTGCATTCTGAACATAAGTAGCAGTACTTTTCTGGTACGCTTTCTCAAGAGTTCTCTATGGTATTTTGTAGGTGTTTGTGAACTGAGCTCCACCTATTGAAAGAGGAGCTATCAAATTCTATACAGCTTGTATAATTGGCAGAGAGAGGTGAAATGACTTCTTCGAGGTCACTTAATGATTCATCAAGACAATCAGGAGTAGAACACAGGTTCCTGATGCTAACTGTCCTAGCTCTAATCAATGTGCACGCTGCCTTCTGTTTGCTTTTAAAGTTTTAGAAAGATAAAACCATTTTGAGGAGTGTTTATGGCATCGTTAAATGTGAAGCCTAGAAACTTGGGCTCTGAAGTCATATATCTAGTGCAGTTGCTCAAAGTGTTGGAGAAAAATAAGTGATTTTTAAAAAAAAAATCAGTTAAGACATATTTGATTGGCAAATTATGTGGAAGAGGTACATTATTCACCTCATTTTAAAAGCAGAATAAAGTCTTCAGTTCAAAGCTGCTGATGTTTGCAAGCCACCCATGAATGCTGACTTTGTAACTCTGCCATAGTCTGACATAGAAAAAATATTACAGGATCCAAGGGATGTTTGCAACCCATAAATTAAATGTGGTTTTTAATATACTGAATTTGCTCTATAATACATGTAAGATACAACATGTTTACAACCTCTTTACTTAAAAAAAGCAAAATATTTGAAGAAACATTGCGTGCTTTAGCTGGTATTAATCTGATTTTCATGCACACCCCTTAAGCTGTCTAAACTAGAATGGTAAATGCTGGTTTGCAGTACTAGTATATTATCAACTGTTTCAGGTTAAGCAAGTACCATTGATTCAAATTTAGTATTTCTGGCAACTGTAAAGAAGGATGTATTTTGAATTACCTATTAACTTTATTCCGCACTAAAGCCATGTGTGTTACTTAGTTTACCTTTTTCCCAGTTCACTTTTAACAATGATACTTATTTGGTAGACAGAAGTAGTCTCTGGGATAAGAATTTGTTGTAGAAGGTTTTATATTCCTCTTATGCTTGTGGGCAGCTAACTTGCAATGTGGAAAGGAGACTAATTTAACAAGCAAGAGAAGAAAAAATAAGGAAAGAATTATGGCTGAACAGCAGGGGAAAAATCCTTGACATTGAGATCTATTACTCTGGACTAAGCTCTCCAGGGAAGTGGTGGGGGTCCTCTCCGTGGAGAATTTTAAATCTAATCTAGAGAAAGCAATGCAATATATTGCAGTGAAGGATCTTGTGCTAGTGGAGGATGGACTACGTTTTTTAATTCTTTAATTCTTTAATTTTTACGTACCAAGATGCGTTATCTGTGGTCTCTTCTTTACGGGTGCCCTTAAGATTGTTAAGGAAAAGGAAAGTAAAAGATGGATTTTAGAAAGAGTAGATGGAAGTCAAAGCCTAGATGTGAAAGATATTTCTCATAATTCTTTGCCAACTGGGTGTGATTTCTTCTATTAGCAGCCCAATGCCAGGTGAGAAGAGAGTAAATCTGTTAATGGAATATGCTGAAAAACTGTGAAAATATTTTTCCTTCAGAAAAGGCTTTGGAAAAGAAACAAAATGCTTGGAAAAAGGTGTTGCCCCTTTGATATTTTTAATATGAAAGACTGAAAAAATAATCCCCTTCCACTTGCTTTTTGTACAAACAATCCATTTTTATCTGTTTTTAATGAACTCTTCTAAAACTATAAAAAGTCGTAAGGAATTAGGGGGAGGGGGAAGGCTTTTGAAATGAACTGCCAACGTACTATTGACATTTTGTTGAGCAGTCTTGCTAATCAGGCTGTTTTCTACCACCTGCCTTTCAGAAAGGTATCAGGACTAGAACCTACCTATGTTTCTGGATGCTTCTCCTCCCGGAGGTAGCCCACACCTGAAGAAGCCCCCTTCCATATGCATCAGGAATGACCGGGATTGCAGGGGTACGTGCTGGTTTTGGTATCCGTATCAATGTACGTGTGTGACCCTGGGCACGCATGGCAGTGGGGAAAGGGAGAGGGATGCTGGTAAGACAGGGCAGTACTGGGGACCGCTGGAGAGAATGGTCCAAATCCTTCAGTTCTGGCCTAGGAATTTTCAGGATTGACTTGGCCTTATCTCAGCAATGGTTTATAAGTTGCTATTTAAAGATTATAAAGAGCCTTGAGTTTAGTAAAGCTAATTGCCTCCCTTTATTGTAGGAATAAGTGGCTGTAGTGCCGTTCCCATGCTCTTCTGTGCAAATGCTTTCCCTTCTTCCCTGCGTTTCATTTGAAGGATGCTATGTTATGCCCTACCAACCACCGATAACGATGGCGATAGGTTCTTGTCTTTGCTGTTTCAATGAATGCACAGTGCTCTCGTAGTCAGGATGTAGCTGTGTTGGGAAATCTAGAGAGGTTTTGTACAAGCATATTTTCAAGCGCTTTCGGAAGCATTACTCAGTCTGTTTCAAATCAGTGTATAAAGGGAGCTAATGCCTCCATTAAAAATATTTTTAGCCCTGTCCTCTAGGCTCAGACTTCCTCAGTTTTGTCTGTCTTTATCCTCTGAAAGTCTGTGCTAAAGTACTGACTGCATGGGGCAGCACCCGCTAAGTTAATGGTAGAAGAGGCAAGCCACATGTTTTTGAGCAAGGATAACAATGATTCCTCTTCCGTGGAAAAGAACAAAGGCCATGGCCAACTTGACAATCTGAGCCCAAGCAGCCAGCCAGAAATCCCAAGGAGTGGCTTTCCTCCTTACTTTTTTTTTCCCCTCTTAAAAATGTTGTGGGTTTGTGTTTTTTTTTTCCAAAAAGCGTTTTGATTGATAGCAATTAAATGCGCCAATAGTGCGTTAGACAAGGGCTGCCATGATTGCTATTTACAGATAAAGAAATGGGTGCAGAGACATGAAGTGGCTTGTTTACCACTCCACAGTAAATCAGGAATAAGAAAGGCAGCACCGAGAATCCCTGTAGAGTCCCTGAATCTTTGTAGTCGTTTACTCCTGCGCATTGGAAGGAACACTGTACCCTGTCAGCACGGTAGCATTTAACCCTCATTCTGTGCCAGTGTAAATGAGGCTGCGAGGTGGTAAGTGGTGGAGAGCAAGGCCTCTGATCTACAAGGGTGAGGGTGTTCAGATGGGGAGCAGATGATGACAAATAATGAAATGAGAGCAAAGGAAAGATTGAATTAAAACATCAAGAAAAACTCAATAATGGTAAGATTAACTGCAGTATAACCTCCTACAGGAAGCAGCAAAGGCAGAGCGTTTTAATCATTTAAAACAGGTCTAAACATAGTTTTGGGTAACATATTACAGCTGGTGCAGCTACTGAAGGCTTAGCCGTAGCCCTAATATTCCTAGAATGTTGTAGGTTTCTAAGGAGGGTATTGAGTTAATGCGTCCTCCGTCTGAGTCCACTCTACAGACTAATAGGCTAGGAGTGCTAACAAAGCAGATTGCTAGCTCATATGTTTAAGTCAGCATGTAGGTCTATTTATCTATCTATACATGTATGTGTCTGTATTTATTTATATGTGTATGCGTGTATATGCGTATATAAATATTACATCAGGATAGATTATGACAGATGTTAAAAAAAAAAGTCATCCCTTTGCTGAATCAGCCTCAAACATGCTTTCAGTAGTTCTTTTAACTCTAATGTTGGTAGAATCACTGTTCAGAAACAGGACGCTTGAAATGTTTCCTTATTATCTACGAGCTGTTGGGGGCTAGGTGCATCGCCTTTCGTGGGTGTGTATGGGGCCTCGAAGGGGCGTTTGTGCATGACTACAATAATTAGCCAAACAGTGTATGACAAGTGAAAAGGTGGGTGACGTTGTTCCTCACTCTGCCCTTCGTGGATCACACCTGTTATGAAAAGGGGACTTGAGAAAGGCAGAATGGAAGAAAAAAGTTACTCTTCTTGGGAGGGGGGCGGGAAATCAGTTATGTTTCAGGACTGTGTATTTCCTTACAATAAATCATTCCTAGAAAGATCTCAGAAAGAGGTGCTAGGGCCGACCACAGCTTAGTTAGAAGTGTTAGCTTCTTGGCAGTACCACACAGTGTTACTTCAGTTTTTGGTTGACTAGAAGTGCGTGACTTTTCCCAAACTAAGTGTAGAACTGCGAAAAGAAAATGCTGTCTGTACCACCCTTTATCAAATGTTTTCCAAACTCCAGTACTGCTCCCCCTTCTCGAGTGGATGCATGCTGTAGATCCTGTGCTGGCACTGGAGAACTAAAACTGCTAACCTAGTCTATCCCCAAAACCAGTGCAACCCAGAAGCCATTGATGAGACAATTGGAGCTCTAAGACTGTGAAAAAGCCAAATACCTCTCTGTCCATGCAAGATATTTGGCTCTGGGGTTAATTATTATCAAGTTTAGATCCAGACATTATTTGACTACTATTTACAATGGTTGTATGTCCAGTGCTAGCAAAGAAATTTGTATATAGAAAACAAAAATAAAAAAGCAACCCAGAAGCCATTGATGAGACAATTGGAGCTCTAAGACTGTGAAAAAGCCAAATACCTCTCTGTCCATGCAAGATATTTGGCTCTGGGGTTAATTATTATCAAGTTTAGATCCAGACATTATTTGACTACTATTTACAATGGTTGTATGTCCAGTGCTAGCAAAGAAATTTGTATATAGAAAACAAAAATAAAAAAGCATGGGTATACATTACAAGAAACCTCTGTTAGACTTATGAATGCTTGATGCAGTTGAGTTCAGTGCTTTCTCATTCTTTGCCATTTGTGTGTACAGTATTAAAAAAGAATCCTACCTTTTTTTTTCCATTTTAAAAATACAGAACTGGTAGTCTAGTCACACTCTTACAAGTAAGTGATAACAAAAATAGAAAGCAGATACCCATGTGGGACTAAAACTCTACTAAAGCCTGTCTTTTTTTTTTTTTTTCCACAAATATGTTTTCACAGACAATAATTAGCAGACAAACACACTGTTTGCAATTGCACTGTATTGACTTAAAAGGCGGATACAAAATTGTCTAAATAAAGAATGCCATCCAGGGTGAAATAGTTGTGTGTGTGTGTGCGTGTGCACATATATGTGCTGACACATGCTTGTATTTTCCTACTGTGCACCCAATCATGGAAATATGCTCTGCTCTTTGTAATTCAGTGTTGCTCTGATGTGGTTCTGCTGCACACTCGCACGCACACACACAGAGGAATGGAAATAGATTTCTGTGACAGGTGGCTTCTTTGTCTAAATCTTTTCCTATAAAAGAAAAAAAAATGTGAAATTTTGGTTGGTTTAAAGGTTCTGCTCCATGAAGAAAAAAAATTCACAAAATCCATTGTTTTTCACCTTTTCAGTCATTTCCTCATGAATAAATATTATCCATTAAAAACCTTTAAAAAGGTGCTGCGATACACAGTGTTATATTTCCGTTTTCTTTATTGACGCTCTTGTTGCCATGATGATTCTTTCCCTCCAGCCTCCGCAGGTGACTTTTGCCCTGTACCATGGCACAACACGCTCTCCATGCAGGTTTTTCCTTTAACCAGACTCTTCCTCCCTCTCCTAATCCTTCCTCAGTCCACAGCATGAATGCGAGTCTGAAGAAAGCTGCCTCGTTAGGTCTCCATTGCTAATTCAATGACAAAATGTCAGGTTGGTCCATCCAGGCACGATTTGCAGCAAGAAAGGAACATGGAGGTGTGGAGGGAGAGGGGCACTGGTCTTCCAGCCTCCTTCTGTGCATGAGACATCTTACAAGGCAGAGACCTTGACTATGTTGCTCGTGGTGGTGGTGGAAATGTTCGTGGAGTGGCTGGGGCTGCTGGGCGGAGGCCTACTCTCGCCTTCTGGCGTGAGTGCCGGCGGCGTGGGGATGCTGATGATGGCTGTCGTTATCTGGGCAGTTTTGCAGTTCGGTCTCAGCCCATCATCTGATTTCATGTTGAGACTGGAACGACTAGAAAACAAATTTAGCGTTTGGCTTTTTTTTTTTTTTTAAAACCAGACAGTAGAAAGGATGGGAATGGTAGTTGTCCTTAATTATCTTACTACTCTGAACTAAGGGCACCGAAATATTCAGAAGACTCCACTTAAATGTTCCCCCCGGTTCCTGCAAGGCATCATTTATTTCTACCCAGATTACACTAAGCTTTTTTAATATTCCCCCTGGTTAGGATACAGCTTTTCACAGGGCAAATCGTTCTATGTTTCCATTTCATTCTTGCATAATTCTAGTTTAATTAAGAGGACATTACATATACTGTCCTGTGTACTGTATCTTTTCAGAGCACAGGTAGTTCTTTCTGAGAAAGAGATGTGGTCTTCCTTGCATTTCAAATGCCTCTTTCAAATTCACTGTCCCTTGATCTTTTCTGTTTTTTCATCTCTCTGCAGTAGTTTCAAGGATCTGGCAGCTGGGAGCATTCTTATTAGATCTGCATCAATTGCATCCTATAATTAATTGCAGAGGGAAAATGATAGGTTGATTTCTGTGCATCTGCACAGCTACAGGAGTCTACTATTACCAGCCCAACATGTTCATTTTAAACACAAGGCCTGTCCTTTTAAAATGTAAAGCTCCCAGTTGGAAAGCTATTGCCGTTGTTATCTCAGAGTGACTCACCAAGAGGATGTTTCTTGATCGCTCAAGCATCCCAAGAACATGGCAGAACCCATTCTGCTCCCCGGTTGCCTCAGTCACAAGCTGAGAGTGGGGCAGTCTTAGGGACTGGGTGGTTCTGCCAGTGGTAACCAGTACACCCAGTTAGTTGCATTCCACATGAAAAACAACTTTAAAGCTTTTTTTCTCTCTCCATTCTTACACAGTTTGGTAAGCAAGTGAAATAACAAACAGTGTTGACGTTTAAAATATCACTGGCATCTGATTTAGCACCCACTGAAATAGGCAGAATAGTTGACATTCCCCTGAATTACTGTTTCAGGTGCTGGTTTAAACTATTGTCATCTCAAAGCTGCAATAGCTGGAGACTTGTTTTGTGCTTATTCATCCATAATTCATTCTCTGAAATGCCCTTCTGACTTCACCCTGGCACAAAGTAATTGCTTGCTGCCCTAAAGGCAGCTTTGTTTCAGTTTCTAGATCCCTTTGATAGGAGTGGGGAGCAGAAGAATGGTAAGTTCAAAAACAGCCCGGTGCACAAGAAGCTTCATGGGCTGAGGGGGATTTAAAAAGTAATTTAATATTTGCAAGAAAGGTATGGTGAAGAAATTATTTTTTCAGCAAGATAGGTATAAAATGAAAACCTCAAAATTTTCTATTGAGACACTTCTTCACCTGTGTCACTAATGGCTTTTTAGGTGAGAGCTACTAAGACACCATTGTGAAATTCCTCCTTAATTTTTCCCAGTAATGCTTACAGTTGCGATTGAGACTTTTGGACAATGAAAATCAGTGAAGTGAGTGTCCCTGGTGGACCAAGTCAGTGTGTACAGCGCTCTAACAGCTTTTGCTGACAGACACTGATTAACCAGTTGTCTTTGCCTGCTCCCAGTAAAGGCTTGGAAGTACTGGGCTATCTGGGAGGTGGGCTGTGAAGTGGTCCTGTGCCAGCTTTGGCGAGTGGCTCACAGCTGGGAACTGCTGGCTCCTGCCTGTGTGATTAGCACTTCATAGGCAGGTTTCAGCTGGAATTCATTCTTCTATGTCCAGTCTGGCCAGAGAAGAGCTGCACTAGAGTCTAGCTTTGACCTGGTTCTTCCCGGAACAGCTAGGAGCCGCTTTCCTTGGGCTGTCATTAGAAGGAGGGGAAGAAAGATGCTCCCAGCACTAGCCCCCTCCCCCTGGCTGGAGAATAGGCCTGCAAGAACGTCCAGGTGGATAATCGACTTCAGAGGTTTGCATGCAGTAGTTAGCAGCAAGAGCCTACTTACTGTACCTTGTTGTAAGTGAGGGCTGCTCGCTGCACTGGATGTGGATGGTGCTGAGCTCCTGCATGCTCCGGAGACGAGTGGCTGGCACGCTGGAGTTGGGAAGGTGAGTGGTCTTCTTGTTCCGGCGAGAACAGCAGGAGGTGGTCAGTCCATGGTGACTTGACAAGGAGGGGCTCCGAGAAGAAGGATAGTTTTGCATTGAGCTCTCCATGCAGTTCTGCTCGAACAGTTGCTCATCTATGAACTCGTGGTTCTGGCAGGGAAAAGAATAGTGCCATTACCCTCTGGTGACACCAACAGCTTTGGCCCAACAGCAGTTTGTTTTCAACGGTACCTTTTGCTAGGTTGGTGGGATGTGTCAGCCCCTTGCCTGTGTAAGATGCTCCCTGCCTCTGTGCCTGAAAATATTTGCACTAGGCAGATCTTTAGAAGAAATGACTCTGCCCTTCCACTCACTGCAACCAAGAGAAGATTTTGCTCTCCTCCATCAGTAAGGGAATAAGGGAAGCTGTTGCAGTGACAAAAGCGTGATAGTCTATCAATGCTGCCTTGCTTATGTAGTCTGAGATGGTTAATATACTGTGTTTGAGTTTCCTTTCATTTTTGTCTGAATTCCAGAAGTGGCTTCAAAAAGTCTGTGATGCCACATGGTTATGAAACCCAAGAAGATTTAGGCTCCTTTTTCTTTGTCCCTGGGGACAGGATTGTATTGTGTTTAGATGACCATCTTGACATATAGCTGAATTGCAGGATGTTGCTTGTATTGGCTATTGGGTGCAAAACGTACCTGTGGTTCATGGGGTGCTATTAGCTGAGTGGAAATAAACGTGGCAGGTGAGAGTGGGAAGTGTATAGGGGAAGGAAATTCAGAAAGCTGAATTTGTGAGTAGTTCTTGTGCTAAGGAACAAGAAATCCTGAAAGAACGAACTCTGATGTGCGTGTATGAACACCCAAGTAGTTCTAGTGAACATACTTTATCCAGTCCCTGTCAGCGTCAGAAAGGATGGGAAACAAAAGCAACCATGGTGAAGGCAGCCATCGGTTTTCATTGGAACAACTAACGACTCTCACAGGAAACAAGAGCACTGGATAGCCAAAAAGAGCCACGTGCACAAACTCCCAAGGACAAGGCCAGGGACGAGAAAGGAAGCAAACACTCTCCAGACACTTCACAGAGACCATAGAGAAAACAGATTGAATTAAAAAGGAAATACCTTGATGGTGGAAGTTCGTACAGATAACAGGGGATCATCCACAAGATAGGACAATCCCTACGGGACAACATGCCAACAAAAGATAAAAACACAATTGATTGTCCATTCCGGCATTCAGAAGTTTAGTCCCAGCATTGCATCTATTGCCTCAGCATTCCAGCTGGCTCACTCAAGTTTGAATGGGCAACCGGACCTTCTCTTCACCAAACCTTGCCTGAATCAGACCCCTTTGTTCCTTCCTCTCACACTTAAGCTTTTTAATGTTATGTTCTTGGAAAGAGAACAAAACTGGTAGCAATTTTATTACTTTGAGCTTTTGAGAGCGGAAGGCAAAGGAAAACAAAGTTTCAGCTGCTGATTCACGAGTAATGAATTGGAATTGTATTGCCATTGCGTCGCCAATGGCTATGGGTATTGATCATACTCTGTGGAAACACAGGAGAAAGGTTTGGGCTGAAGGACTGGATTCGATGCACTCAGCATTTGGAGAAAACGCGGCATGTGAATGTCCATACTCGATCTGGGAGTTGGAATGAGTGGAAAAAACCTCCTTTTGTTTGAACAAACTCCATCTGTTGTGTTAATATGACAAAGTAACCTCTGTTATGGCAGCTAGAAGTACTTTAGGGTCACTTTGTCATCTGACACACCAGATTTGTGAGCCATTCACAGCCATTCAATTGTAAGGCTGTATGCTAGTGACGACTGCAGGTACCATGACAATAAATAATGTACTTTTAGAATCCTTCTGCCTAGTTTAAGGAAAGGTCAATTGCCCATTGAAACAAGTTTGCAACCATGGTACATTCCTCATTCCATTCCTGCAACTTGGTTACAAAATGACTCTTCAGTATTTAAAAATTCTTCTACTATGATTTAAATTTTTGGGAGGAGAACTGTTGCACAGTATTTTAATAGATTATGTGAACTATAGAATTTTCACATAAGCTGATTGAACTAATTTGATAATTTCAGCCCAGAATACAAACTTGCTATGTGATTTGATGCAACGTCATGGTAATAACTGGCTGAAAAATGTGGGGGAAAACACATTCAATATTGTGCAGATTCTCCCTCTAGGTTTTAATAAAAATTCAAATTATCACTGTTATTGCCATTCTTTGCTGAAAAAAGCAATGTTTGGAACATTTTCAACCACTGAGACTCACTGTCTGAGTAGGCTTGCATGCTGGAGGCAATCTAGCTTTGTTAGTGTGGTAGGCTAATACTTCCACAAATTAGGATATGCTTTGGCCATGTTACTTCCAGCACCCTAACCAGCTCATTAGTAATGGAGCAACACATGCAGCTCCCAGAGATGTCCACTGTCCCTGTGCAGAGGTCAGAATTTCTATAAGCCTTTACAAAGTCAGGGCCTTACAAGGGCAGAGCCTGGAGGCAGGGTTGTCAGCTTCTGTTTGCTTCAGCCAATTTGTTAAAGTTTCCAAATGAAAGTATTCTTGAGAAATATGGGTCATAGTGGTGAAGCTTTTAAGCATAAAGTTCTAAACTAAAGAGTCAGATTGTGAAATATCTGCTTGCTATGTAACATCCAAAATTGCTAGAAATAAAGGCAAGATGAGTCTTAAAAAAAATAAATTCAATAGTCATTGATACAGGAAGAATCAGTTCACTGTCCTTGGAATGGTGACCTTTATAGCTCATTGTGATAAACCAGCCGTACTCAGCAGGTCACTGTAATTAACCAGTCATCTTCCAGTGTATCGCTGAAGCCTAAGTGGTGTTATTCCAGCATAAGCCAAACTATGGAACTGAAGGTGATTTATCTAAAAGAAGGCTCTTGCAAGTCAGAAATCAAAAGTACATTTGATGATGGATGCAGATAGAGAAAGGCATGAATATTTCAAGTGTTAACCTCTCTTCATTCTTTATAGAATGAATCATGGTATAGATAATGTGTTCCTTTACTGCAGAACCTTTTATATATACCTGGAAGTAAAACATATATATCAAATAAATATCTGAAATGTTCCAAGAGACTTCTGCATACAGAATCACTTAATAGTGAAAAATAAAATTCTCGCTCCAACACCTTGCATGACGCAAATGGAAAAGTCATTGTTAAAGAATCTGCTTGACTGGCTTTGAGATAAATTACCTGCTCTTGTAACCAGAACTGTAGTGAGAAAAGATATGTGCAACCTTTAAACCCATTAAGAGAGTTCATCTGCTTTGTGCCATATAAAGGGCTAAAGGTTATTTTTTTCCAGTCCATTGGCACTGGTGACCAGGTTGTGGTTTGGAGTCACTGACAGCAGCTTCTTCCTCTTAAGACAGCAGAACTGTCCTTTATTACTAATTAGCACAAATGACGAGTATATGTGATGCGTGACTGACAACATAAGACAAATGCAGTTTAGTTCTCTTTCAGAAGCACTGAAGAAATTAAACTTAATGTACACCTTGTTTATAGGATCTCCCTAACCCCATGCTGAAAGTTATTTGCGTTCAAGTGAACTTGACTGAGCAACCTGCTATTGACTTTGTACTGGTGTAGATGACTGTGGAGTAGCAGATAATCACATCTTTATCCCTTTGCACAGTAATTACTTTTTTTTTTTTTTTAAAGAAAACAATGAAGTAAAGTGCATTTATCCCATTGCAGAATATTCTTGGGAGCTTGAGTGTCAGCCCCCCTCTGGCATAGTTTGTGGGTCTGCTGAATATATCTTGAGTGCCACTTCAGAGCATCTGCGTGCACATCTTTTCCATATGAAGCCTGGGCCAGGGACAAAGACCTAGTAAGATGTAAAAGGATTGTGTTGCTACTTACGGTTGTTTTTTCCAGGCAGTGCAGCAGGTGGTGATGTTGGCTTTCAATTAAGGAGGTGCCTTTAGTCATATGCTGTTCATCTTCAGTGGATCCCTAAATAGCCAGAAAAAGGGGGGAGAGGGGGGGAAACCAAAACCCAAACCAGGTGTAAAACCACGAAAACAAACAAAACTAGCAGCATTAGCTTTCACAGGCATAAAGATAATTTCAGTGTTGCCAGCTCTCAGGTTTTTCTCATGACTCTTACGAGGTTACCTCATTTTTTTTCTTAATGATTTGGCTCGTTAACTCAGGTGAGGAACTCAGCTTTGATTCAAAACCAGTGTGTTTCTAGCCATCTTGTAGCTGTGGAGGAAACCTGGGAAATACTGTTGGCGTATTCTGGCTCAGGAACCAGAAGGTAAAGAAGAAAAGAAGCTGTGCTGTTTTATTTTTCAAAAAAAACATTAAGACTTTTAAGCTTGACATGACCTTTGAATGCCAACAGATGTACCCTAAACTCTAGTCTCTGTTAGGAGACAAAACACAAGCTGTCTTGCTTTTGCTGAGCTGAAAGCCTGGCTCTGCCTGACCTTCAGGGCTGCACAGAGCTGGGCCTGTTGGAACTTGCATGTGTTACTGCCAAAGCCTCCTGAGTCACGGCTGCACGCCAGATCAAAAAAATGTGAATCCAGGCTTCGTGTCTTGGACTTTGTAATGCTGTTTCTAGAGACAGGACTCCAGGCTCTGTCTCTCCTCTTCATGGACATGACCAATTGTTGTCTGCACTTTGTACCTGCAGTGTATCAAAAGGGGGCTGCTCTTTCCCTACGTCGGTGCATATGGTTGTTGGTGGGGAGTTTATAGCAGCTCCTGAGGACCGGGTTTGGTGCAAACTGAAGGTGCGTAACCCCTCCTGTGGTGAAGCCCTCTTTGAAAGGCAGGGAGAAGGGAGGAACAGGCAGGCACTGCTTATGTAAGAGTTAATGTATATAAATCATCCTATTGAAGCATATGGCAAATGAAGAAGCATTGTGTAGCAGCGGCAAAGGGTTTATGTTCACGTGAAATGTGGCAGCAGTTCCCTAGGAGAAGGAAGGTCCCATCTTTATTAGTTTCTTTCACTCAGTAGGCTTTCACTCAGTAGGATGGCTTACTGTGATTTATGTTCTAGTGACACAGTGCCCAGGAGCCCTGTGAAGTGACCAGGAACCCTCTGTACATCACTTAGCACAAAAACAGGACAAGGCAAGCCTGTTTCAAAGACCTCACGATCCAGATACTTGACTCATTGTGCAGCAACACCTGTGCAATTGGGGACCAGCTTTCCCCTATGTCCCCTGTGTACTCAAACTGCTGAAATGTGGATAACAAATTTGTAAGCTAATTCAGAGAGTAGGGTGTGCTTAGAGTCAAGCAGGCAGCCTGTGCCATCTGGGAAGGGATTGGGTACAGCTGGGAGTATTTAGGTCGAAAAACTATTAAAAGGAGTGGTCCCTCCTAGGGAGACATAGGAAGAGTTGGGGGGGATGAACTGCTTGTGGCATGCCTGTTTAAGGACTCTGGGTTGGAAAGACTTATTGGGGCACTTTTGCTGGTTGTTCTCTGCTTCTACATCAGGTATGTGTGCATGTGGTGATTTGGGGAAGAGACTGCTCAGACTGCAGTGTTATTAGTTGTTAGGATAAGCTACGGATTTCAGACCAATCTCTGTGCTTTTGCTAAGCTGAGGGGCTTGATCTGCTTGAAACAGCTGAAATAGAAATGGATAAGAGGTTAGGAGCTTGAGTTCAGTATGTGCGTAATGTTTTGCTCATGCAGAAAGCTTGGCATCAAGCATTCATCAAAACAGCAATAGGCCAGTTTAGTCAACTTGGGTGTGGGGGGAGAAATCCAGCACTCTGTATTTTTTATTTCTGCACTGTATCAGTGAATCAGATGCTTACATTCCTCAAAATATAGCATGTCACTTACTCTATGATCTGATGATCAGAGGCACCTCAGGAATGGAAGGAGAAGTAGCAATAGGGGTTGTCTAGAGAGTTTCTGTGCTATTTGAGAGCCAGGATTATTTTTCTTACTTTGTTATGTGGTGGCAGATTTAAGATCTGTTTTTTTAAGGATGTTCTTGTACTACTACTACTTAAGCTCCTGATCTTGAAATTCACTGTGATTTCATGACACATTAATCTGCGCGTGTCTTTGATGACTAGCATTTTCAAAGACAATTACATGCATTAAAATGGCAATTAGGTGTTGTAAAATGTTTCCCTGTGCTCCATAAGTCAGGAGTGCCTGGTGTCTTCTGTAATGCCTAAATCTGAAAGGCAAAATTTGATGTGCGTGGCTTGAATCTCTACTTAGACACGAAACAACAGCATCTAACTGTTCAAGAGAGAAAATGGGTGGGATGGGAGACACAGCAGAACATCTTGGCAGAAGTGCCAAGACGTTGTCTGTTGCTCTCAAGGGGGTCAAATGCAACTATGCTTAAAGCATTGCTTTTAAATACACCCATATGTCCCAGTGATTCACTGCAAATGCGGGTTCTGGATGCCTTTTCCAGGATGGTTGTGTGATCTTTAAGTGAAGGAATAACTCTGTCTCTGACAGATGCCAAAACATAGCTGAACTGGTACATTAAGAAAGCTGACTTACTGTACGCAGAATTAATAGATTCCTATGGGAGTGCATCTTAGGCAGGTTATGGATTTTTTTGTTGCTGTTGTTTTGGAAGATGGAGCATTCCCAGAAGTATTTTTAGAAGTGGCCTAAAAAAAAAACTGCTCCATTTTTCTTATTAACAATCCTCCTGGTGAGCTAACACATCAAGCGGGTCCTGTTCATACCCTGCTGAGATTACTGACTCTGCTGAAGTCTGTGTTGGAATATTTCCCATGGAGGTCCTTGCAAGCCCTAAAGCAAATATGATGCTGCGCTGAAACAGTGGAAAAGGAGAGAGAAAGAGCACATATTGCAAACAGTATCTTTTTATGAGGATTTGCTTGAGAGCAGGTCTAAATGGAATCTGAAAGCAAAGATAGAGCTTCCATACCTCTGGCAGAAGACCTAAGCCAATTGTTAAATTTTGGCAGCACAACTCAGTCTCTCCCTCTGCCTTCCATTCCAAGGCTAGGCTTGCTGCTGATGGAAATGAATGGATCAAGGGATGGCAGTGGCCAGGAATAAAGTGTAGCATCAATGAGTATGACTCGTACCTTATCTTCCTTTCACTTTTTCTTCAGTCACCTCAGTATTTTCAGAAACAGACTATGCAACCACCGAGAACATCCTAGCATGCGAATTAAGAATGAGATCTGCAGGAACTACTGCCCTAGGACAGTGAGGGTGCCAACATCACACAAATGCTTGGCATTTTGATAATACTGTTGAGGAATGTGTACCTATAGAGATTGCATCAGCGGTACCTGTCGTGGTTTAACCCCAGCTGGCAACTAAGCCCCACACAGCTGCTTGCTCACTCCCCCTCCGGTGGGATGGGGGAGAGAATCGGAAGGGTAAAAGTGAGAAAACTCGTGGGTTGAGATAAAAACAGTTTAATAGGTAAAGCAAAAGCTGTGCGTGCAAGCAAATCAAAATAAGGAATTCATTCACTCCTCCCCATGGGCAGGCAGGTGTTCAGCCATCCCCAGGAAAGCA